TTCACGAGCAGGTACTATCACGACTCCCGAGGGTGGGAAATATGGGTCGTGAGATACAAACCCATAAAGATAGCAATATAGTCCAATATAGATGTCTTTGCAATCAAATCAAATTATTTTCCTTGTAGTATATCTTTTGCCGTTTTCTTTATTTTATTTTATAGTTTATTTTCTTTACATAAATTCAATAAAAATTATACGGAAGTTTTTTTTTACCCTAGAAGATAATTTTAGTTCTCCCTTTTATAAAATTTGCTAAGGCTTGCAAATATATTTGTTGAAATTATTTGTCATTTGTTAGTTTAATTTGATTTAGTTTATGTTGGAACTTTTTTTTTATATTTAATTTTTTAGTGTATAAGCTCTCTTTCTTTGATTATTGGTGTTAATTAGCTTAGTTTGCAACTCTTTTCTTATTGTCTTCTTTTGCAAAAAATAACTCGTTACTTATAAATGCTAAAAAGATTTTATAATCGATCAAATTTCTTAGAGTTTATAAATTCTAAAATTGGCCCTTTTTTTGTTAAAGTTTAATAAATCAGGTAATATTAGATTTTTAAATTAAAATAAGCAAAATTATTTAAAATATAGAGCACCAACTTTAAGAGGACTTTATTATGAGATCATGTTGTGAATAATAAAGACAAAAACAAACTTGCGCTTGTACAAAATCCTGGATCCGCCACTTACTAATAAAGAAAACTTATATCCACATAGTTTCATTTTCTATAATTATTTTCTTATTAGCCTGTAATAAGATTGATTTCTTTTAAAGATTGGAATAATTTAATTTAAACTTATACTTTTACTCTTGATGATAGTTTTTATACTAACATAAATATATGCATGTTTAAGATTAGAAGCATCAAAAGTCATATAGTCAGACATATGTTTATATCATGTTTAATATCACAAATTCTAAAAGTATTCTTTTGTTTATGTCTAACTAAACAATGCCACGTAAATGAAACAGACAGAGAATAATGTACTTCCTCCGTTTCAATTTATGTGAACCTGTTTGACTGATGAGCACGGAGTTTAAGAAAAAATGAAGACTTTTGAAATTTGTGGTCCTAAACAAGTTAAAAAGGTGTCCAGAGTATTTGTGTGGTTATAAAAACTTCTCATTAAGGATAAAATTGTAAGTTTAAGCTAAATTGTTTTCAAATTTAGAAAGAAGTCATTCTTTTTGGAACAGACCAAAAATGAAATAAGTTCATATAAATTGGAACGGAGGGAGTAGTTACTAGCCTAGTAACATTACAAATAAGCGGGATGTAGACGTTTGGACTGTTTTTGATTGAAATTAAAAAAATAATTTTTGAAATAAAGTTAAAGAAGTACTTATATACAATTTCTTTGGAAAAAAAGTTATTCCATTAAAGTTGAATGGTGAACTTTCACTTCAAATCCTAATCAAATTTGTATTTCAAAAATTATTGTTCAGCATTGTGTTTACAAAAAATGAAAATTTGGTTGCATCTGGCTGCTTCAAGATGAATATTGATGGAGTGGTTGATAGTGATGCTGATGTCTTACTGTCAGAGCAGTGAGAAGAAAAGTTGTTTGCTGATTTCAGTACTCTATTTCAAACTTGATTTCTCATAAATATTCTGTCTTTTGTAATTTTGAGAACAACTATTCATCCTTCTGACCTATGGCATTTCTCACTCTACAAGACAATTCAAAACCCTACAATATTAATAGTTAGAGGTTATATATATATATATATATATATATTAGATGACTCTTGCTCGTGCTTGCGGGCCCAACAATTTTGATTCTAATGCAGTGTTACTTTACATTACAACTAAGAAATAAGAACACTTCATGCGATGTACAATTAATTCCGTATGCCAAAAGAACATACAAAATTAGACATAAAAATCCCACGATGGCAAGCCAATGCAATATGTTTCACACTATGAACTTCCAGAGTCCCCTTTTCTTTCCATTCTACATCTATACCTACTGAAACTAACTCCTTTCTCTTTCTGTTGATGCGGCTTGTGGGTAGGAAACCAAGTACTAACATTTTAACCATGCATAATTACAACTTATGCCTGCACCTTTGACTCGACATGTATGTATTGCAAACTGACAAGATCTTCACGAAGCATTCAAGCTCAAGAATCAAGAAGAAACATAATGATAATACTTGCTTCAATTAGATCCCTGAACAAGTTTCACCAAGGTAATTTTGAACCTAGCAATTTTGAAAGATTGGAACTTCAAGAGAAGGGGATTATGTAAGATATTTTACATTTACAGGAAACTTTTTGTCCTAAAAATGATTCAAAATTACTTAGCAGAAAGATATACTCTTTAAATCAAAGCAATATACACAAGTAGAACCTGAGCACCACGCAGTGTTCCAGGCCTTGCTCTTCCAGTTCCCTTTTGCCACCACAGTTTTCTACCAGCCCCAGTAACTTCACTAATAGTTTTAGTTAAATGGGTTCCCTGCAACATTCATCAAGAGTAGGTCAACAACACCATTTGAATCCTTTATTGCCTTGGCAAGTAACTATAATTTATAAAACTTGTAGAATCAGGGGAACATGCATAAAGATAGTAAACAGGTAGGAGAATAAGAGGCCCTGATTGATTTAAATGATACACCTTAGATCATTTTTTGTATGCAACAATTTTCTTTCGCAAGGCGATTTTTCCCCCAAAGGCATATGAGTTTCTGTGGTCTTCATATGCCTCAAAATGATCATCCTGATTCTCTTTTTTCTCCAGTAAGCCTCTTTGTTTCCCAGAGAAACAATTGACAGTAAGATGAGAAATGGAAAATGATAAATGGCTCTTAGGCATGAGAAACACAGAGTAAAACAAGAATAGCTCGCCAATATGTATGCTCTATAATTGAAAATTTGGGATTCAAAAGAATCGTGCACATACCTGCTGTCGTTTTGCTAGCTACCATCTTATCTTACAACACGATGAATAATATCCTTCCTAATTGGCACATCAAAAACATCCCCAGCCAAACACATAAAACCCTTGTCTTCATTATGAAAATTCATTACTGGAATGACCAGGTCCTGATGGAACCCTGCCATATACAGTAATCAAAATGATAGTTACGCAAAATCAGATGATATAGATTCATCCACTAGAGTAATTTTTCAGTATAAATGAGGCAAGGGAATTATATGGGACAAACATTATAACAACTCTACTTTGCACTATCAATATGAGGCAATCATCCTTACAAAGNTGTAAGCACGTGATTTTTGCTTCACGAAAGTTACTCCAAAAGAAAAAAAAAAGAAAATCAAAAAATATATGTTTTGTCATTGAGTGGTTTTTGTTTAATGTTAAAATTGTGTGTTAATTGTTATAGGTGTTAACCAATATGTGTGTAAGTTTATTTTTAATTTTTACAATTTTTAGGGATTTTAGTTTAATTTGTTAATTTAAAAAGAAAATGATTGTGGAAAATCGGCTTGGGCCCCAAAATGAGGCCCAAAACCAGGACACAGATCCAGTCCAAACACAGGCTGCCCAGGGAACGTCCCAAACGACGTCGTATCAGCACCTCAATCTTTAGCCGTTGATTCATTGCAATCAAACGGTTCAATGCAGCCCTTGCTAAATCGAAACGACGTCGTTGT